AAAAAAAAAAAAAAAAAAAAAAAAAAAAAAAAAAAAAAAACACTTTTGAAACAGATTTTTCTCCTTTGTCTAGGGCTTCCGAAAAGGGCGGGTATCAGTTTCGAGTGTGAGGTATTTCAATTTTGCTCTCATTTAGAAAAGATTCAAAGAAGACCAATGTCTTTATCATCATTGTTTACTGGAAATTGTAGCTAATAAGGTAAAAAAGAGGAGTGTGCACAGGGAAAGAGAGGTGGAAAGCAACACGTCAGGTTTCTTGGAGTGCAGTCTTGGCAGAATAAAGGAAGCTGCGTCAGAGTTCCCCAGGGCCTTAGGGGTGCATTTCTGGCTGCAGGGCAAAGGCAGTGAGATATCAGAGGAAGGATGGTGAATACTGAGGTCACAGTGGCCTGCTGGGTTGAGTTGTCCTCTGAATTAGCACAGGTGGAGCCCAGCAATCCTCTGCGGGCTGTACTGTGTTGGTGACACATCCCTGGGAAGGGTCCCCCTTACCTGAGCTACATCAGTTGATAAAGGTTCTCAAAGCCTTTCCCCCTAACTCTAAGCTCCCAAGTTACTCTGAACCAGGCCTGAACGTGGGTGCAGAAACTTTCATGGTGCTCACTGCCATCAGGAGCAAACAAGCCATACAGATCATCTCCCAAATTCCTTGATAAGATCCCCACTGACCAACACATTTAGGAGCTAAGTACCCAGATATTAAAACAGAAGGATTAATTTGGAAAGAGTTCAAGAGAAACTAGGGCAAAGGTGCCCTGAGCCACACTTTCTACCAAATCTGCCTCAGGGTGCAGCCTTTCGCTTTTTTCCTCAAGTTTTACCCCAAAGCCCAAGCAGTAAACTCTTTGGGAGGGGGATTGCATCATCCCTTTGTATCTGAAGGAAAACACCCCCAAATCGGCTTTTTAAAGGACTAAAAACTCTGGCAGGGTGCCTGACACATAGCAAGGACTCAATAAATGTTTGTGAAAGTGAATTAAAGCCAATTGAAATGTTCCGAAGACTCAGGAAAGAGTCCAGAACTGAATTTTTTATCTTGGGTTCCACAGTACCAGAGACTCCGATCCATCCTTGACACCAGCAAACAGTCTTAGGTTCTCTTCTGGGGTGCTGAGTAGACCTGGGGAACTTGTGTTTGTCAACACACCCATAAGGCAGGAGTTCTGAGTATAAGGAAAACTTGCTTGCTTTAGGAATATTCTCAAGGTTCAAATGACACACCCGGCACCTGAAGGTGCATAGACCAGAGAGTGCAGCAGACCAGAGAGTGCAGCCGTGCCCAGGTGAGACGTGGCTCCAATGATCTCTGGATCTGGGACTTCTACGCAAGCACCCCTGGTCCTCCTTCTTCTGGTGTCTTCCAAAGTCAGCCTCCTCTTTCTACTGTCATAGTCCTTTCTCTTATCTGTCCATGTCCCTGATGCCTCCAGCTGCCACACCCACTTCTGTTCAGTTCTCCCAGAACCCTGGTCCTATGCCCACTGCCCTGTGAAGCAGATTTCTTCTGGTCCTCAGCATCTCAGTTGGATCACTGTTTCTCCCTTATGAAACACAGGGACCCTTTCCTTATAGATAACCTCCTTACACCGAGCAATTAGCTGCAGGTGTTTAACATGTATGAAAAAATATTAATAAGCTGGCACACTAGAGTCTTCACCCTCAGGTGCTAAATGGAGGCTGGTGGGGGCGCTGTTGTCCATTCTGTGGGTAACGCTGCTCCCGCAGCTCTGAAACCTAGATAACCTCAATGTTTCTGGGCCTCAGTTTCCCCATCAGAAAAGTCGGGGACTGTGCTATATTGAGAATCAGTCACTAATTTATCTTTGAATTCAATACACTTTTGGAAAACCTGCTAGGGGAGAGCCCTTTACCAGGTACTTGTGAAACAAAAATAAATAAAATGGTGGTGTCCTCCAGTGACTAGAAGGCAAGTAGGAATATGAGCAAGAACACTCTTAAACTATCATGCTCTCTGATTGTAAGAACTATTAGTATTCGATTCTGATCTTTATGTTTGTTCCTGTATATTTTCTCCTGCACTTTTCTTTGTGGTGCTCAAAACAGCCAAATTTAGTTCTGACAGTAACTAGAGATTATGATAAAATTGGTGCCTGCACATGAGTAAAAGGCATCTTTTAAACAGTTTTTCCTGTTAATTGCCACATTTTAATCTATGATTCTTTTTTTTTTTTGTCTTTTTTCA